GTGGTTACATGTTTTAACTCAATGCGCTCAAGCCACAGCCGAGGCTACCGTCACAAAAACAAACTACGTCAGAAGAGGTTTTGTGCCTACAAAAGCCCTGACCAGCCCCACCGTAACAATAAGGGGCAACCATGTCTTGACCTACACTGTCCGCAGCCCAAACCGTCATTCACCACAACCGTGGACATTTCGCACACGTCAGCTGCAGGTGGGCGAGGCGCACCGACCAGTCCCGCTCCCACGGCCGCGCCGCGGACCAGCCCTTCACACGCGCCCACCCGTGCCCCCTCCTCTTCCCATCCCTGGCGCGCAGCACGGCCGGCGTGCCAGCCACCGCGTGCGCCGCCTCAGCATCCGGCGTGCTGCTGCAGACGCAGCACGGCCGGCGTGCCAGCCACCGCGCGCGCCGCCTCAGCATCCGGCGTGCTGCTGCAGACGCAGCACGGCCGGGGTCCTAGCCACCGCGCGCGCCGCCTCAGCATCCGGCGTGCTGCTGCAGACGCAGCACGGCCGGCGTGCCAGTCACTGCGTGCGCCGCCTCAGCATCCGGCGTGCTGCTGCAGACGCAGCACGGCCGGCGTGCCAGCCACCGCGTGCGCCGCCTCAGCATCCGGTGTGTTGCTGCAGACGCAGCACTGCCGGCGTGCCAGCCACCGCATGCGCCGCATCAGTACCCGGCGTGCTGCTGCAGGCGCAGCACGGCCGGCGCCGACGTGCACGGAATAGCGCCCAGCTCGGTTATGACCACATCCACCAGCTCGGGCGGCGTGACGTCGTAGGCCAGGTTGAGCAGCGTCAGCGCCTCGCAGCGCCGCCAGTCGGCCAGCGGCGAGTCGGCCGCCGGCACCAGCGCATCCGGGTCGCCCAGCCGGTTGTACACCTGCGAGTCGGTCCTGCACGCGCTCCGAGAACTTGTACTTCTCGCAGCAGACGAGCACGGGCCGGTTAAGGGCGTGGCCAGCCAGGCTCACCATGGCCGAGCCGGCGCGCGACAGCACCATGCCGTTGGAGAGGAGCGCGTGCGCGCCCAGTAGCACCTTGGTCGCCTGCTTCATGTGGTGGCTGATGGCGCTGATCATGCCGTACGAGCAGGTGACGCCGGCGTCCAACAGCATCCGCAGCATACCACGGCCCTCGAGATGCGGCCGCGAGTCCACCACCACCACGTGGAAGCGGAGGCCTTTCATGTGCGCTTCGCGCAGCACGTCCAGCACCGCCGCCGACTTGCCGTACGTCAGGATCGTGTCGCCGTCCTTGATCCTCTCCAGGGCGTAGTGCGTGATCGCCGTCACCGCCTTACAGATGTTGTCTCTGATGAAGAACTCGATCCACTCCGACAGGTGCTTCTTAGCCTCGTTGTCGCTGGTCCCGTCGGCCACCTCTGTGCGGATGGCGTGGTCCAGCCGCGCCGCCGCGTTCTCCATGGCGACCGAGAGCGGCTGGCACGCGGCCACGTGACCCACGGCTCGGCGCACCTGGTCAGGCAGGTCGCGGCGGAGTTCGCGCTGCGCCGGCGTCTTGTAGTCCTCCACGAGAGCGGCGAGCGCGGCCAGCAGCGCCACGGCGCCGGCGTTGGCGCCGGTGATGCGGCCGGCCGCCAGCCGCAGGCCCAGGCGCAGCACGGCCGGGTGCACGCCGTGCTTCAGCGTCAGCGCGTCCACGGCGCCGGCGTCGAACTGCGGCAGGTGCGAGAACATGTGGATGTGGTGCTTGGCGGCGGCCGGCGCCTTCTTCGAGTTTTTCTTGTCCGGCTGGGCGGTGTCCTGATCCGGGCGCGCCACCGGCGCCGGCTGCTGAGCCGGCCCGGCCACCTTCTGGGCCAGCTTCGGCTGGCTGCCTCCTTTGGCGGCGGCCGGGCCCGCAGCTGCCGCCGCCGCCGCCGCCGCTGCCTTGGCCGCCCGCTGCGCCTCCTGCAGCGCCCGCCTCTCAGCCTTCAGCTCGGCCTTGGACTTGGTTGGCGGCTGGTCCGGCGCCGGGGCCGCGTTCGGGACCGGCCTCGGCTGACCGCCGCGCTCGGCCACGGCCGGGCCAGGGGCCGCCGCCTGCTGCACGGTCTGGGGAGCAGACTGCACCTCCGCCTTGGGTCCGGGCGGCGACTGAAGTGGCGGTCGCGCCGATGGTGCGGTGGCCGGCCGGCTCGCGGTCGCCTGACCGGCCGCACCACCGCCGCACGCCGCCGCCGGCAGCGAGGCCTCACTCTTGCTCGCGCCAGCTCCAGCGGCCTTGCTGGTGCTGCTTTTCCCGAGCTCGTTCGCGTTGGCGTTGGCCGACTTGTTGGCGTTGGCCTTGGCCGCCTTGGCCAGCTTGGCCGCCTCAGCCTTGGCCTTCCGCTCGGCCTTGACCTGCTCCCTGCTCTTCTGCTGACCGTCAGCAGGCTGGGCCTGGTGGGGCGGCTCCGCTGCGGTCTGGACGGGCGCCCCGGCGGCCAGCGCCGGCGCCTGCGCAGGGCGGGCGACCGGGCTAGCCTGACCTGCCGCTCCACCGCCGCCGCCCGCCTGCGTGGAGCCGTCGCCGCCGGCCGTCGGCGACGCCTTCTTGCTCACGCTCGCTTTGGCATCCTTGACAGGCGTGCCCGTATTCGATTTGGATGCTTTGGCGGGCTGGTTCGCGCCAGCTTTGGCCGGCTTGGCAGGGTGGCTCGCGTTAGCACTGACTGCCCTGACGGGTGTGTTCGGTGTGTTCGCGATACCCTTGGCCGCTTTGACAGGATTGCTCGTGTTACCTTCCGCCGCTTTGGCGGGGTTGTTCGCATTGCCTTTGGCCGCTTTAGCGGGGTTGTTCGCGTTGCCTTCAGCCGGTTTGACGGCGCTGCTCGCGTTGCCTTCGGCCACCTTAGCGGGGTTGTTCGCGTTACCTTTGGCCGCCTGAGCTCTGGCCCGCCGCTCAGCCTTGATTTGCCCCCTGCTCTTCCGTTGGCCGGCCGCGGCCTCACCATGCGGAGCCACTTTCTGTGCAGGCAACTGAGCGGCACCCGGCGGCGACTTGGCGGCGGCCGGCTGCGACTTGGTGACGGCCGGCTGCGACTTGGCGGCGGCCGGCTGCGACTTGGCGGCGGCCGGCGGCGACTTGGCGGCGGCCGGCGGCGACTTGGCGGCGGCCGGCGGCGACTTCACGGCGTCCGGCGGCGACCTTAGCGGCGGCCGGCAGCGACTTGGCGGCGTCCGGCGGCGACTTGGCGGCGGGCGGCGGCGGCGCGGCGGCGCCCGGGACGTTCGCCAGGCTGCCGCGCAGCTCGCCCAGCACGTGGCGCAGCACGGCGATGGAGCGGAGCATGTGCCGGGTGGAGCTGGCTGGGGAGCTGCCCGTCTGGCGGCTGGGCGTGGCGTCCGCTGCAGGGCGCGAGGCGACCCGTCAGCGCTCGGCCAGAGAACGCACGCCGCGGCTAAATCAGTCGGATGCGTGGCGCCGCTCTCGCCGTCTCTCGCTCAGCCGCCGGAGGCCGCTCTCTGGCTAAATTGGCGACAATATACCTCAAAGTGTATTCGTCTCATAAGTGTGTTGCCACCGTCATTGATAACAGTTCGCGTTCGGGGCTATACACTAACACAGACAAACTGGACGGTGGCATAACGAACGCCGCCGCATTCCTACGCTGGCAGTCGCACCTGTGTCCAACCCGTAGGTATTCGGTAGTCACCTCAGGCGCCGAACACCTTTCGCCAGGACAAAGGAGCGTTCACGCGACCTCGCACAGCGCCCAATCTCGCTAAACTAGGACAAGCGCATCCACACAGCCTGCCCGGACGGGCGCAGGAGGCCGTGCTGCCATCCCGACGGAGCCAGACGGCTCACACCCCGGAGGGACACCGGGCCCGGAGCGGCCCCGCCCGGCGCCCGTCACACTTACTGTGCACCTGGAGGTCGATCTCCCGCACCTCGGTGAAGCTGTCCCGCAGCTCCCGGGGCAGGTGCTCGATCACTGCGGCAGGGGGCGGGGCAGCGTCAGTCGCGGCCGCCGCGCTCCTCAGCACGGCGGCGGAACGGAGGTGGTGGGCGGGGCGGGGGGGGGGGGGGGGGGGGGTGCAGGGGACGATCACTAGGACAGGGGAGGGGGCAGGGGCAGCGTTAGCCCGGCCGCGCTCCTCAGCACGGCGGCTGCAGCGGCAGCGGCGGCGGAACGGAAACGGAAGGTGGCGGGGGACGTTACGCACGTCACCAACATCATCATCATCATGTGGTGAACGGAGAGACGCAAGGTGAATCTGTCTCGGGATTTGAACGGATTGGCAACAATGCTGGCTGGGTTTGGCAGGGAATCAGCAATGATATAACATCAGAAGTGTGCTCAGTTTAGCCCTTGCCGGCATAGCTTTGTCGGCAGCCCTTACAAGCCTCCATGCTGTCTTGTGAAAACCAAAAGGCGGCAGATGGCAGCGCCGCCGTATTTGGTGCACGTAGCACATACGTCCATTGTACACTATTCAGATTTCGTCCTCCAGGCCATGCCAAGTCAATTCCAGCTGATCCGCACGTCTGAAGGCTTGAAACGTGTTTCAAAAGTCAGCGTCTCTTTTTGCCAAATGTATTTTAACAACCGCAGCCCTGGGAATTAGCATAAAACACGCTTATGGAAGTCAGCATAGAACGCTTGAATAAGCGCCAAACCTTCCAAGGCTGAGGAAATGATAACCATGAGAAGTGACCACACATTCTCTGCTGAATTGGGGACACTTAATTTACTAGCTTTTTCAGGCAGCGCCACGAGGTCCTTCGAGTTCCATCTAATTCATTAATTCCAAAAAACTGATACCGCTCCGCACGGCCGGTCCGTACTTAACGGTGATCGGTAGGTGACTCTCACGAGCTATGAATTCATGGGACCTATCAATCATTACCGCAATCGCAGAGGGACCTTATGACGGCGTCGCATGCTTGCTGGCCATTGTTTGAGTTGCAAGTGACTGCTGAGCAAGATTTCTACGCGCTACACGCGGCTCGCAAGCGCTACCACGCCGAGAGCGGCGGCTTCATCAACGGCGGCCCCAGCAGCAATCCTCCGCTGCTGCTCGCTCCTGTTAGCAAAACAAACCAATACCCGGACAAACTCCCTTAACAGACTGCGCCGCATATTTGGAAAACGGCTATTGGAAATTTTGAAAACCACAGCTGAAAAGGCCTTAGTCAATGAGCTTGAAAAGACGTGCGCAACGCCAGAGTGCTGACCCTGAACTTTGCCACGGCGATACTAACTTCTCAATTATGTCCTCGATCCAAAGACCCCGCAGCCTCCTCCGACCATGAGTGCCTCAGGAACCTGGCACATGCCAGGCGCGCATCGAGGCCGAACTCAGAGAGGTCAAACACTATCGCTGGAGGAGCCCCACTGGGCGGAAGTGAGCTATTATGTACGGTCCAGCGTGCGTCCTGCGGGGCCTTCAAACTGGGGGACATATGCGCACATATCGTGCCGTCCGAGAGGCCCCAATGTGACAAAAGCATGTGACACAATGTCTACAGTTTGGCAATTGACTCACAAGCATTTCAGTACCTCCGGAGAGTACTTATTTTGGTGTTATCATGTGTGCACCCAAGACCTTGTTTTGAGTTTCAAACAGCAAGCAATGCAGCGCAATCAGTCTAGACCAACTGAAGCGAACGAGCAGCACTGTCACACGCGAAACTCCGTCGGACATATGTCAGCATGGCCCAACAGGCCGAGATGCATGCCGCCCGAAGTGCTGCATGGAAAGGCGGGTACCTGGAGCATGGACGAGCACAAGCGCTAAACTCAAATGATGGATCAGGGATGGAAGGTCAATGAAGTTGCAAGCACCGCACAACAAACTGAAATGTGACATTTGGTAGATGATTGAGTACATTTCAGACTACACAAATGTTCCATTTCTAGAGACACACACAATACAAAATATCTTTTATTTCCAGCTTAGCACTAACTATCTATCATTCTCACAACCTACTTTCAATGTAATCTTCTAAGTACAGCATTCTGGCAGACTGGTGGCACCTAAATGCAGCAAGCACGCTCCACAAAAGATTCCACGATGGACTGGTGCTAAGACATGGGCCAGGTCAACCAGATCCTGTAAAAGAAGAATAACATTAGAAGCCCATCATTAGAGCCCAAAATGGGGAGACAAAGATCAAATGCCATCATTACCCTGACACTCATTATCCTTTCACATACCATGTTAGTATCTTGTACATCTTGTACAACTCATTCCATGATGAAACAAGCTGGTAAAATGTGGCATGTACCTGTGAAAAGTGGAGTAAGGCTCGGCCATCTCTCTCCCTCACAGCGCCTCTTCCCCTCCCTCAGCTCCCACCCCACAAACTGTGTCATTACATGCCCAGGACACTGGCCTGTGGCCTGCCCACTTGTGAAGATGCCAGAAATTTGTACAAAATAATCCAATGTGGCTCCCCAAATGTGGCTTGCTGCCAAATCACCTGGGTGCTCAATGCCGTGCCTTTGGCCTACAATCATGTCCTGGCAAGCAACATGTGTATATTTGCAATCAAAGATGTTTGCTTGTTCACACACATGTGAAGCATGCTGACTCACTTCCCATCACATTGCACCACAACACAATGCTTTTGCTGGGATGACCAAAACTGGCTGCACAAAATTTCCACTCTGGCTGACAGACTGGCAAACTTGTAATACTTTGAATTACTGGGAGGTGTGGTAATGGATGCAGTCTTTCCAGATCCCAAATATTATTATGGGCACATGTTTTAGCTCTTTCTTGTGGTATTTTTGCATATTACCCTTTCACTTTACCTTTATCTAACCATTTATAACCCCTACCCATACCTGTGGTCTTGCATTGCCTACCTGCATTTCTATGCTAGGTTATGATGTCATTCCTAGTGACACAAAGCTTACAAAATATAATGTTCAACATGCCCAGTGTCCTGCATAGCAGTGCCATTGCAGCAAACATTTGTCATGCATGCTAGTACAGTGTGTTGAGTGGTCGGCACACAGTTACCTTCAAATCCAGATCAACGTACTTCAAAAATATTTTAGAATATCAATAATCAGGAAAATGCTGTGTCACTTGGCCAGGCCTTACTGCAGTGTGCATAATCGCTAGGTTCATGAGTTGAGATTGGTATCCGGATATAGGTTCATGAGTTGAGCTAGGCTAGCATGAGTTGATATTGATATCTGGCCCATATAAGATGACCAAATATTTGGTAAGATCACAATATACTATTATCAGAAAACAGCAGCATTGTATCATCTTAACCTTGAAAAAATTGCTTTTGATCACTGGTGACAGCCTTCACAGTGTGTGACAATGTCAAAGATGACACTGATTGATCATTGGTGGACATGTTAACAGTTACCAAGTCAGCTGAGCATAGGGTGAGGCCCACTTTTTCAGAGCAAGTAAAGAGGCATATTAAGCTATGTTGTAGATAAGAAAATAGTGATAGCCTTATTCATCACAGCAAACCAGGAACATAGAAATATAGATGTGTTAATAATACTGCTACCATCATATATATGTACACTATGTTCTACCATTATGTCTATGTGCATTACTCCTACCATCAGCTATGTGCTTAGCTTGCATAATTGAGTCATGCTGCATGAAATCCAGGAATATTGTAACCCATACATGGTCAGTGCCATCATCTGATACTTAAGTGCTACATAGGTCACCTATCTGATGCACAAAATGGGCAATACGCATGCCATATGGCTACGCCGCAACATCACCGTGCCGGTCAACATATGGAGTGTGTGAGGGTGTGTGAATGCGGTCCGAATTTCTAAGCAATGGTTTGGAAAAATGGCGTGGCGCCCTGGAGCACGTAGATTATAAAAACCATTGTGACTAGCTATCCTTGAAAATTTTGCCCAAAGACATGCAATTCAGCCAAAATCACTTCCATGCCGTGATACGAGTCCATGCACCACTCGGCACAAACTGCTAAGTTAGAAACACTACTCTTATATTAGAATAAAACATAAGGAGGAGATAAATATAGAATCATCCACACACCACTAACTGCAAACGGTGCTTTATACGGGCCTCGGTTGCATGCAAGCAAATTATCGTAGCAGTTTCGCAGCTTGCCTTACGAAAACTGCTCGACAATTGAGGCGAGGCATGACGCATAAAGTGCGTCTGGATTCTGCTGCTATTCCACTCTCAGCACCGTCATAATATTGCTCAAAGAGCAACCCCTAAGATCAGCAATGGATGTTACGTACCTGGATATGGATATGGTTCGACAATTTAACGGAAAATGCAATAACACCAAACCCGAGGACGCACGCCCCGCGCCACGATTGTATCAAAGCTGATGTCACGTCGAAAGCGACGCAATGCCGAACAGTACTAGTTCACTGCTATCTTGGCAGCCGTTTTCTATTCAACGAACAAGGGCTTAGACTTTCCTTAAAACTGCATCATTTGACTGTCAAATACCATTGCATCGTCAACTGTACAAATGGCAAATTGAGGTGAACCTAGAACCATCATTTGTGTGTCTATACTCCCCTCTAATTCGCCTTGGGTGTGACCTAAGGGACAGTAGTACAGATGGAGGGTCGGGGGAGGGGGACAGGGGGCACACGCCCCTTCCCTTAGGTTCCGAGGGCTCTTAAGGCCCACCAGGACTGAACTGAGGGGCCACAACTGAGGGCCGGAAGGGCCGGTCCGAAGTCGTATTCAGAGCCCCGGTCCGCAGGGCCGGGCACTCTAATGGCAGCCCAGCGCGCTGATGACCGGCCACCTAAGTCGATAAAGGCTTGTATATTGGTCAGGCACCACCACTAATGCACAGTCAGCTCCGCGGCAGCATGGGAATGACGGCCCACTTCCCAAGGGATAACGCCAGAGCCAGCGGTCTGCGTTGGTCGTGGCCCCAGCGCCTGTGAGGGTCCCACAACCACTAACGGGGGCCTATGCTGGCAGGGGATCCCGAGGCCGCCAGAGGCAGTGTTCGAGGAGGCCACAAGAGCCTGAAGGGCCCACCAGTTCCGACAATCATTGACCCGATTGGAGGGTCTAAGGGTACGAAGGGCTGGTCAAAGTCTCATTCAGGGGCCCGGCCTGCGGGTACGCGCCCTCAAATGACAACCAGAGGGCCTGTTGTGCTGATCGGGGACCCCTGAGTCGATGTAAGCCTATACCGAACAGTCGACCCCTTGTCAGTCTGACCACTGGGGGCCTCTTTCCCAAACAGGGACACGGCCGAGCCACTATTTACATTGGTCAGACCCCTGCAAAAATGCGGAGATCCTGTATCGTTCAGAGGCCCACAGTGCCTGACAGGGTATTTTGTGCCAAAGAGGGGCGTCGAGCCAGTCAGGGGAAGATTTGCTCAACGGGGATGGAGACAGGACACCGAATGACAGTGGGCCTCTCGTAGTGGTCTGGGTCCTTTGATAATAAAAGGGAACATGATGGCTTATGATGATTGTACATATTGAGGCAATGGGTCCTGTGCCAGTCAGAGCCCCAGTACCGAACAGTGGGACCTCCAACCCAATTTCAGCATGGGCCCGTTAAGCCGAACTGGGGTCTATACACCAATTATTGGACCACCTGCGGCAATCAGGGATGTTACGTCAATGACAGTTCATGCCACCATGACTTCCAAAAGGTCAAAAAAGGCCAGTGTCCTTAGATGAGTATGCAACCTTTTGCTTTGAACAGTTATCTAGGTTCTGGGGACTCTTCGGAGACCGACGTGGAATTTGACCTTATTCAATCTTATTTGACCTGAAGGTCATGAAGGTCATGAACTAGAAATGACAAACGTTGACCTAAGTGATTTCACGTACGGGTTAAGACATTCTGTGAATTTGGTGTCTCTAGCTCTCTTAGTTCCTGAGATTTCAGAGGGGTCAAATTGACCCGAGCGAAGGGTATCCAGCCGGCAACCAGGGCGCGCGTTAGTGCACCGGAAATCGGAAGGGGTAGGCATGCAGCCAAAGTGCCTTATCGCCATGCACGTCCTGCGCATAACTTAAATTCATTAAAGTGTAAGTTTTTCATTGTCTCGATATTCCGTATCGATAGAAATGCGTGATTAGTTGCGCGACAAACGTATTTGCCGAGTTTGTTGTGACCATTAGATGCGGAATGCTTTTGAGACGGATGGGACCGCAGTAGCCTCACCGTGTGCGCGGCGTCCCTGGGTAGGCCCAGTCCATTCAAGTAAATGGTGAGCTTTGAGCTTCCAACAACGTTCCATATCAATCTACGTGTGTGAAGCGCGTGGAGACCTGTCAACAGAATCATTTTGAAAAGTCCCTGAGTTTTGCAGTCGCTTACCAGAGCTAACATTCTGATGCAGATGTGTCTTATTTGGTACTTCTCGGACGCTTTTAAGAGCGCCGCTAGAAAAGTGTAAAAAGTCCATCCGTTATGTCCGTTGTGGTCCGGTAGCCTGTTTTGTACGGTCTGGTCGAATCTCATCTGATATAGTTTAACTTATGATCCGCTGACTGGCTCGGGGTGATAGCGGGATAAGATCTGGCTTTATCTGGGCTGAACCAGTTCCGTCTGGTACAGTGCGGCCCGGCCCGGTTAGACCTTGCCGGTCTGATCTGGTCTGAGCCAGTTCCGTCCGATGCGGTACGGTCTGGCCCAGTTAGGCCTTGCCGGTCTGATCTGGTCTGATCCGGTTCCGTCCGGTGCGGCACGGTCCGGCCTGGTTAGGCCTTGCCGGTCGGATCTGGTCTGAGCCAGTTCTGTCCGGGTGCGGTACGGTCTGGCCCGGGTAAGCCTTGCCGGTCTGATCTGGTCTGGGCCAGTCCCGTCCGGTCCGTTTCGGTCACATCTGGTTAGCTTCGGTTCTGTTTGGTTAAGTTTGTTCTTTCCTACCCTTTTCCGCTCCGTTCTGTTCCGCTCTTGCACTGCCTTCCTGTTTAACAACTGTCTCGCCAATGAACAACTGCTTTCGGCAACACTCTGCACAACTACTTCCGTGGCTTTTGTAAAGCTCATATCGCTAGCCACAACGATGCATCCATGGGATGCATCTGTAACCAATGACCGATCTCTTTCAGAATTATCCACTCTTTTCCATCTTCAAGGGGATATGAAAAAACTTTGTGAGACTCGCTCTCCATAGCCAGTAGGTGAACTCTGCCACATCTTTCGCAACGCTGTATTTCAACCATCATGTGACTCTTCGATGTCCAATGGCTCACACACACATTTCCAAACGGACGCGAAGGAGTCACATTAGCACTCATACACACCTAACACGTGACGCGCACTCAAATAAACACTTCGACATATAGATGTTGCAGCAATCACGGGGGCAACAGCTGCCACAAATGCTCCTCTGACTGAACGTCCCGCCACGGTGACTTATCATGGCTTCGTGACTCCACGCACACCCTGCAGGGTGGACTGAACGACCCCGATCACTCGGCTGTGGTTCTCAATAACGACAGCTCGGCGAGCACGCAGACGAATCAGCAGTTGACGAGCAGTCGCCCGGTCTGGCATCGCTCGCAGAGCGCTGGTGACGTCACAATGAAATGTGTTTTCAACTCCCGGCGCTTTCGATCCGGCGACACACAGAACCCGGGTATCGCGGGATTTGTACGCCATCACGTAGCACACTAGACGTAAGGGAGTCCAACTTAACCATGGATGTTGCAGTCGACACTCTTGCTAGCTAGATCCGCACATTATGCGCAACAGGAAGTCCAGGAATAGCACATATGCTGTAACACAAGACCAGTGAGCACTGACGCCCCATACGCTTCGCTGCAAACATCGCATTGGATCAGCAGAGAAATGCAAGTAGCAGCCCTCCGCAGCATTGGTCCTGTTTCTTTGCAGTCCGCTGATTGAGTCGGATAATATGACGATCACGGAGCTGCGCAGACTGAGCTAGAATCCGCCAGCTCGGGGACTATTCTGGTCTGCACGGGGGGAATGTCGAGGGGGAATGGAATGTGGCCCAGCGACGTATTGGGTAGACGAGTACCTTTAGTTCATAACAACCCTCGCATGACGTAACGCCGACGATCTCGAAGAGAACAGCTGCAGATAGTTTGAATAAAGCCGAAGTCATAACAGCATGCAAATATGTATAATCTTGGGTGCCGCCGAAATAAAATTGTCTTGCACCCGGCAGGACGTTATGTGTGGTTTGGTAACAGGAAAGTGTATAGATAAGAGCGAACGACGTTGTTTATAGACGAAACCATGGCCAGCCACACTGGCCATTCCACGTTTAAGCCAAACATTCACACCATCCAAAACACAGCAGCTTGTTGGACCAGGCCACGTCACGCGCGATTTAGTAACGGAGCAGAGACGTCTTCCTCACATCTCGCCCGGGACCCGCGCGGTACGTGCCGCCTGGGAAGTCAGAGTCACCTCCAGCCCCAGGTTAGCGTACTAGTCGCGGACAGAGACGGCGCACGGCACCTGCGGACGGTCACAGTACGAACATTTGACAGCAGGGGGGGGGGGGGGGGGGGGCAGGCCTCACGAAGACGTCCCCCACGCAGCGCCACTTTGGGCTCACGAGATTGTACCCGCGAGTCCGGATTCAGTAGCGAATAGACAGCCAGACGACGAAGAAGTCCCGGTGGTTCAATGTCTGTCCAGGCTAGAATGACAAGCTCATACAGTTAACTATCCATATCAGTAGCTAGCGGCGTGGACTGTGAACTCGACTAGACTGTGGCTATCGTAATACCCAGTCTAGATCACACAGAACACAACCAATGCGTTCCGCCACTGTGAGAGAATCCACGGGTCTTCAGTAGGGCTAACCTCACGGCTATGCGTGGATCTATGCAGGGAACATGATACAATATCTTATGGTAGCCACTCCGCACAGGAATTAGTGCCCGCCAATTTCTGGGTGTGGAAAGATGCCGAGGGGATGCCGTAAATTACCGGTGTGCCAAACTCGCAGCCAAGCGTTTCACATTCCAATAGACGTTCCAGCATCGCTTCACGCTGCCTCTTCTTTCGCATTTCTTAGCGATCTCGTTTCCAGCCAGCCCACCAATCAACCGAACGCCCAAACACATACCAAACCTCACAATCTCACCATCGCTCACCGCCCTCCCCCACCCCCCAAATATCCACTCCCGCATCACGAAAAGTCATTGACCTCGTAGCCAAACGAGCCCCGCTGCATGGAGGCGCCATTTTCGAAGAAGCGCGCGGCGCTCATGTCACAGCCGTTGGGTGGCGCGCGCGGCGGCGGCGGCACGTAGGTGGCGCCAGCGTTCTGGCAGCGCGAGCAGGAGCGCCGCAGCGCCGGCCGCCGCGGCGGTGCGTGGCACCGCACGGCGAACCTTAGCT